CGCTTAGGCCAAACTCCCGTTGAGGGTGAAAGGGACTGCCCGGTTTGGTGGTCATTGAATTAAGTGCCAGGAACTTGTAGTCGAGCAGACAGTCGGAGAGGGTGAAGCAGACAAAGAGCAGGCTGATGACGCCCCACATGAGAAAGGTCGTCTCGATGTACAGCCCATCGGCGCCCATCACCTCATGGCCGAGCCAGATTCTCAGCTCTCGATTTCCTTCTTTTTCTCCTCCTTTGAAACGGACCACCAGGGCAGCTGCTGAACGCACCAGATAGGCGACAAAAAAGTACTTGACCAGGCGAATATGAGCCGGACATTTGGCCACTCTAAAGCGGTTTTGAGAAAAGTTCAGCACAAAAGGCACTTCTCTGCGGTACACTTCTGCGGGGTGAATCTTTCTGTACTGCAAAAGTTGATATCGACTGAGGTATCGTGGAATTTTGCCAAACAGCTCAACATTGTAGTGCACATGATAATAGTTGACTTGCTCTTGAAAGTACAGTAGAGGCAGGTAAAAGGAGGCGACAAACAGTTTGTGGGAATTTAAACGAAAAACGTTTTCACTGTTGTTGAATGGAGCCATTTTGATCAAATTGTATACTTTTGAATGATTTTAACTGTTGGACTAAATCAATTATTTGCAACAATTTAATTTGAACAAGGTTTAAATTTAAAAAATGTTCTTTGTAAAATGTAAATGCATAAAAGTAAAAGTTAGCTGGAAATAAAACTAATCTTTCATTAAAAATTAACACGCGTACATTTACATTTCAATCGTATTTCATTTTTATAAAATATAAAACGTTTAAAATATTAATGAAACAAATTACTGTTTAATATTTGTTTTGTTCTGTAAAAAATTTAAACAAAAGTTCAAGCTAACTTATTGAAAATTTACTTAACTTTAGTTTAGTTTATGTGAAATACAAAAATAAAAGTAAATAAAAAGTTAATTAAAATTATTGTTTACTTAGCTTGGTTCATTTTTGCATTATTTTTCCAAGTAAAAAAACTTACTTAAAATTTATTTTTGAACAATTTTAAATTTAACACTAAAGGCAACTAAACTAAACTGCAGATAAACTAATTTTGATAGCATCGAAGAAAATCAGCTCCCAGTGTCAACTCGTTCAGTGCCCCACTGTTGATTGACAGTTTGATGCTGTACAGATCGCCAGTGGTGTGCAGTCGCATTGGAATTCGAGTGTCAGTTAGGTGAAAGTTTTCTGGAGCAGTTCCCGGAAGAATTAGGCCTAACTGAGCGGCCAATCGAGAGGATAAATAGGAGTTCATTGTTGACGGGTCTACAGTTGCCGTAGTGTGAATGCGATTGTCCAGTGTCACCTGAAAACAGCTGTTTGGCAGTGAAGAATAGGCGCTTGTAGGTTGCTCAGTCTGCTGTGGAGGCAACTTTGGGTACAGCTTTGGAGCTGAAGTGTTCTTTTGATTGAAGTTTTTGTTCAATATAAAGTTAGGATTTTGTTTCTTAAAGGTATTGTTGTTGTTTCTGTTGTTGTTGTTATTGTTGTTATTGTTGTTAAACATTGGTCTGTTTTTTTGATGATCAATACTTGTGCTAGGGTTATGTTGTTGCTGAGTTGCAGTGTAATGTTGGTTGTCACGTCTTTGAAAATTGTTTTTCTGAACATTCTTTTGCTGTTTGTAATTGTTGAATTGAGGATTATTCTTTGTTTGACTACCACTGTTTTCAGTGTCCAAAGGTTTTCTAGCGCCTTTGTTTTTGTTGAGGTTAATGCTGATGCTAATGTTCTCAGAAAGTGACAACTCGCTGAGCTGATCGCCCAGTGCGCTCAAATTTGGCGTTGATTTGTACTTTTCAGTGTTCTGTTTGTTAAATTTCTTTTGTTTATTTGGCTGAGCATTTTTCTGGTAGCCTCCTTTCTTATGAGCTCTTTTTTCGTCTTCTAATTTGAATTCATCCTCAATGGCCTTCACTTTAATGAGGTAGTCTTCATAGGAGGCAAAAGTTAGTTGAAGTAGGCGATGGTTGAATCGGTTGGGCAACTTTGAGGAGATCATGAAGATCTGATCCTGCAGGTTTGCACCTGGAACAGTGTCCAGGAGACGTTTCAGTCGTCCGACGTACTGATACACTGCCTCGTTAGGACCTTTTTGCGCCCGTGAAAACTCTAAACGAGACTGATGAGTTTGAAGGTTTTGATCAACTGAAAAGGGATTAGACATTGTGATGATAAAAGTTTTTAAATGTTTTTACAAAACAATTTAAAAAACACAATGTTGATACTACTGCATTCAAAAGCACGCAGCACATCAATGTCCAACAACGCAAAATAAAAAAAGTACAGTTGGGAGTTAACGCTTGCTTATCTTATCAAAAAGCAAATATAAAAAACAAGGATACTTTTTTCACTATTTACAAAGTTGCTTAGTTTCTCCAAATTACTTTTGTTTTTCTGCATTTTTGCATTTGCAACGGTTTATTTCAATTTATTGCTACTAAATTTTTATTTTTATTAATTATAAAAAAATTTAGTTTATTATTTAACATTATTTGTTTTGTTAGGGCATAAATGTTCTTGTTTTTCTACATTAGTTTTAACAAATTTGTTTGATGTTAACAATAAAAAGTTCAATTAGTTTAAAGCAACAAATTAGGCAACATTTCAAAATTAACATAAGTAACATTTTGTCACCTTTTTAAAAATTGCTTAACACATTGTTTTGTTCCGCTTTGTGCTGTGTAAAATCAATAATTAACAATAAATTAGTTATTGACATTTGTACTTTGTTTGGCGCTCGGTTTGGCTTTGTTTCCGTTTTTGCATAATAACGGATAAAGTATAAAAATTAAAGAATGGACAAAATGGACAAAAGTTAAAAAAGATAAATAAATATGCAAATAAAAAAGTTTAAAATAATGGATGGATAAAGGACAAAATTAAAATTACAATAAAAGTTTAAATTATAAAAGAAAATTATGTTTGAACAAACAGTAAAATGCATTTCATGAATTTGTTTAAAAAATTGTTTAAAATTAAGGAAGAAAATGTTTGGATGGATCAAGAGGGCATTTTGTTTCGTTGTACTTGTTTTGATTAAAAAAGAAATGCTAAATACAAATGAAATTGCAATATTTTACATCAGTATCAATTATAAACAATTAATGAAAAGTTGAAAGTACTTTCTGGGCTGTAGTGAGAACAACAGTTGTAGACATTTGTAATGGGGATGATGAGGAAAAATTGAATGATTTAAAATAAAAATTTAAAAACAAACAAAAGTATGTAAATGGACAACTGGTTACCTTTTTTCGGGTTTAACTTTGTATAACGATGCTTCGATCGGCAAACTTTGTATCACCTAACCTAGATGCATTAGCCACCAGTCATGAACTTCATTGACCAGCATCTGCGCCTTGACGAGGTTAAACTGCTTGCCGCCATTTGCTCCTCCAGCGCCAGTTCCTCCTTCCAGCTCGCCAAGCACATCCAACTCGTCATCATCGACGTCGTGGTCGTCCTTGTCCTCTACCTTCTTCTCTTCAACGGTATCCTTAGTGGAATGATGATGATGATGATGACGGTGGTGATGATGATGGTGGTGATCTTTGGCAAAGGTGGTCACCTTTACCACTTTTTTCTTGGCACCAATAGTTTTCTTTGCTTCAAGAGTCTGATTTTCATCGCCCGCCGAGTCGGAGGCCGAATCAGAGGAGGATGATGATGATGATGATGAAGAGGAGGACTTACTACTACGGCAGCTGCTGCTACCACTTCCTGAAGTGGAGTCAGTTGAAGAGGATCTCGAAGATGAAGACCCTGAAGAGATGGGCGATGAGCTCCTTGTCTTTTTCTTCTTCTTTTTACCCTGTTGATCAAGCCTTTCCTCTTCTATTTTCGTTTTCGATGATGGAAGACCGTCGATGTTGTTCAGCAACAGGGCGGTGGCGCCCTCCGCCGATCCCTCCCGTGAGTGGTCTCGAATTCGTTTCGATATTGTCGACTGAAGCTTTGACTGCAACAGCGTCGAGGGTGTCGTCACTTTGTGGTCCTTTCGAAGTGACTTCAGGCGGGCGCTAAAAGGGACGTAGTCTTTCGGTTTATTTGGCGGTAGGGGCGGTTTTCGAGTTAGTGGAAGAGGGTGTTTACTGCTCAGTTGCTCCTTCTCCTGACTGCTTTCCTCTGCCCTGCCTTGTTCTTCTACCTCATCGGCCTTTTTCGTCTTTTGGTGGTGATGATGGTGGTGATGGTGGTGGTGATGCGGGTGAGGGCTAGGTGCGTCATCATCATCTTGAGCAGCATGACCAGCCACTGAGGTAGTGGCAGTAGTAGCAACAGCAGCAGTAGTAGACGTTTTTTCACTCGGTTCTGAAACTCTGGAGCCCTTTTGATAGCTCCGCAAAACGTGGCCTAAGTTCTGGTCGGCCTCAATGGCCGCCGAGGTGGGCGGATAGCTGTGCAGCGAAACAAAACGTCGACTTTTCCCCGAAGTAGAAGTCGCAGTTGGAGCTGCAGTGGATGGACTGGTCTGCAGAGGCTGAGCTGCCTCCAGAGGATTTGACTCCTGATCAGAAGATGAAGGTGGCGATCGAAGGAGGATCGAGGATTTGAGTGGTGTGTGCTTTGGATGGGCACCACCGAGCGGTGGAATCTCCTCCTCGAGGTCCTCCTTGAAGGTGGTCCGCTTGACGATTTTTCCTGTCGGGACAGGAGTTGGAGCTGCTGCAGCAGCGGAAGAAGAGGTCGCCGAAGAGCCGTCAGAGCCAGATTCACTCGGTCGGCGAAGACTGGAGGCGATGATAGAAGGAGGTTTGGAAGCTTCTGACAGCGATGTCTCCAGCATCACTGGAAAAGTCATGGCCAGGGCCTGTTTTGAGGTACAAGGCTGAGTGTTCATGTACCACTGATCGTCATCGTAGAGGGAAGTTGATGGACCAGCAGCTCGAGGCTGTTGAAAAGTAGTCCCACTGAATTTTTGGGCCGTTTTTGAGCTTCCATTTGCCAACTGAAGTTTATCACCAATCGCCGAAGTTCCACCTGGAAAGTTGTCCCCAGTGTCTGAACTGTCACCGCCACCACCGCCACCGTTGCCAAAACCTTTTGTAGCGGACTGTCGAGAAACTGGTGGCGCCTTTTTGATGCTTCCCAGGCCTCGAGACGGTCCAGGTCCTCGAGGCTGATCATCCTGGCTCGCGCCTTTATCATCTCTTTCACCACCGCTGGAGCGTGATGATCTAAAGGAGCTCTTTCTCTCTACTTCAGGCGTCGTTTTGAACTCCACTCTCTTTACAGGCGGTGGGGCCAGCGGAAATTGCTGATGATGATCAGCTGAAGATGATGGCGGTGGTTCAATGGCGGGAACCGGTTTCAGTGGTTTACCGTAGCCAGACGGGCCTCTAGCCAGGCCTAAAGTGGACGACTTTTCCGGTGAAGATAGTATTGACTTTGGTGGATACTGCTGCGTATTATCCCCGGTCTCAGCTGTGGTACTGTCTACTGGTTTAGTCATCGTCATCAGTGGACTTCTCTTTTGACTATCAGCAGTTGCTGCCTCTGAAGTGCCACCTTTAGACGTTTCCGCTCCTGGAAACGCCTTATCTGATAATGCAGTCGTAGGAGTTCTGATCAACGACGACGGCTTGGGCACCGGACCAAGCTGCAGGGGCTCCAGTGTAGACGAAGAAAGCGCTAAAGAAGACGGTGGAGTGGACGTTGTTGCAGAAGTTGCTGCTGCTGCTGCTGCTGCGGCAGATGAAGTGGCCAGCGGCGGAGTTGTTGTAGAGGTGGCACTGACTGCAGTTGACACCTGAGCTGTTGCTGAATCTAAATTTGAATTGAAGTAAAAAGGTTAGATAAACCTAACCAGCGTTCTCCTTAAAGAAGAAAGACCACTTACCACTTTTTGCCGGTGGAGGCGAGCTGTCAAAGAGAAAGGAGAACCCATCATTCTCCTCACCGCTCTTTCCCATCAAAGATGATCCACCGCCACCACCACCACCACCAAAGAAGGCGTTTCCGCTTCCGGTGGTGGTTGCCGTCTGTGGCTCATTAGTTGCCCGGAGGGAGTGAATCAACGACTGGTGCTGCTTCTCCTTCTTGATTCGCCGCAGGCACTTATCCAGCCAGGCTCTGATCGTCGCCTTGGCCACCTCCTCCTCGATCAGGAACTCCAGCTCCTCCCGGGCCAGCAGCTCCTCCAGCTGAAGGGACTTTCGAATGTCCACCGATCGATAGGAGAGCATGTTGAGGACGTCGTGGAAGGTGACGTCCTCGCCGTTGTTCAGCCGCTCCATCTCGTGGCACATGTGCTTGAAGAGAAGCCGATCTTTGAAGGGCTCCACCTCGAGGCGGCCCTTGAGCAAGCGCAGGACGAATCGCACCCGGGAGACGGGAATCATCCCACGCTGCTGGATGTCCACCAGGTTCCAGGTGTTCTGAAAGTTGCGAATGTCGGCGTAGGAGAGCAGCGCGTCCTCCTCATTGGAGTAGAAGAGACTGAAGTTCTCCATGATAATAGCCACCAGGAGGTTCAGGACGATGTAGGTGATGCAGACGTAGAAGGAGCAGAAGAAGGCCAGCGAGGCGTAGTAGTTGCCGCAGTCGGTCGACCAGAAGTTGGCCCCGGGGGTGCAGAAGGGCGGCGAGAGCATGGCGTCGTGCATGATCTTGTTCCAGTCCTCGCCGGTGACAATGCGAAAGAGCGTGATGACGCCCGCTGGAGCGATTCTGCAACAGTGGACAAAGAGCAGAAACAAAAATGGTCACATGTATGTCTTGTACAAAATATGGACCCTTGAGAAGCCTTACCGAAAGTTGGCATGCCTCGAAACGTTCTCCCCAAACTTGACCGACCCAAAGAGGATCACCCCGGCCAGAGCGTAGCAGAGGATCAGCAGAAAGAGGCCCATGATAATGAAGAAGGACTTGTACACGCTGACGGCCACTGTCAACATCAGCATCTTCAGCGTGGCGTGCTTTCCGGTGATGGTGAAGAAGCGCAGAATGACCACAATGAAGCCAATTGAGTTTGAGGTGGCGTTCATCAGGCTAAAGTGCAGCGCCAGCCAAAAGACGCCGCAAACGGTGACAAAGAGGTCATAGCGATTGCGCCGTGACTGCCAGTAGCCTCGAGGCGTGAAGGCGATCATCTTCATGAAAACCTGGTTAAAATTGCAAACAAGGTTAAAATAATTGAAAAAAAATCTTCAAAATCTGTTTCCGTTTACCTCAAACACAAACGCACAAGTGAGACCGGCGGAAACGTTGGCCAGATTGCGCGACCAGCGAACCTCTTCGCTGTCTTTGGCGCTCTGCAGGCTGCTTCCCTGCAGCTTCTGGACGGCACTTTCCCGCTCCCTCATACTGGCGCTCTTGTAGTCCCAGCTGACGCAGAGGAGGCTGCTGTTGACCAGCACCAGAATGGCGATGGCCCGCTTGAAGGCAATGTGCTGGGTGATGTCGTAGATCAGCGCCCGACCTTGGTGGTGGTCCGGTCGCGGCGGAAGGTGAAGCGGCTGGGCGATCTTCAGTCGCTTCTTCAGGTCGCACCAACGGCGCTGGTCGACGGTGAGCAGCGCTGTGCCCTTGTTCTCGCCGTAGTTGGCAATGACGACGCCGACGAAGAGCGTCAGGCCGATCATGCAGCCGAGGAAGACGAAGACGTGAATGTAGATGGCGTCAAACTGGTGAGAAGATTGGTTTGGTGTGGAGAAGTTTGAAAGGGTGGTTATCAGTCGAGATAGGTGAAGACAAAGTTAGGTTAAAACTGTATTAAAACAAAAGTGTTCTAATTCGTAGTTAGGCAAGCTACTAGTATCATTCTAAGCCAAGACTAAGCACTGGTGCTAAGCTAAGCTAAAAAGCTCTGTCTAGAAAGCTGTCTACAAGCAAAACTTTCTACTAAATAAAAATTTGGTAAAAAGTGGGTAAATTACGCGATTGAGCCGTGCGAGAATGACATCACGAATGTCCAGCCAGCCTTTAAAGGAGAGCACCTCAAAGAGGGCCAAAATTCCATTGCCCAGCGAGTCAAAGTTGAACCGACGTGGATTGGCCCTGATGTGTGTGTGTGTGTGGCCCATCAGAAAAGAAACGTGGTAGTGTGAAGAAAATAAATGAACGAGGAAGAAGAGGAAAAGGAAAAGAGGAGAAGAGGAAGATTGATCGAGCCATAAAAATTGAAAGATAGTACAGGAAAAAGTAAACAACATAAAAAGTGGCAGATTAGTTTAGTTTAGTGGCTGTTGTTGCTGTTGTTATTAGAGTAATAAATGGGTAATAAAATGGTAAAGTAAAGGAAGGGAGGGATTACTAGAGATGGAAAAAAGGAAAAACACACAATGAACTCAGCTTTCAATTTTAAGCTTATCGGCAGGAAAAATAGATTATATTTATGTTTAAAAGATGATAAAAAGTGGCAATTTAAAAGATGAAAAGCAAAGCACCGGAAGAAGATTAGACAACGGCAGCAGTAGACAACAACATCAACAAAAAAAGTTGAGTTCAAAATGAAAAATGATAGCAGATTAGAAAGCAAGATTAAGTTAGACAGCGCAGCACAGGACATTTTATCATTCTTAAAGCTAGTTCTTTATTCTGTTATATTGCCCCTCTTAAAAGCACATCTCATTTATCTTGTTCAAAATTTTGCTGCTGTAACTTTTCATTGTGTAAAAGCAGCAGCAGCAGCAGCAGCAGCACCTACCCTTGACTTGGTGGCATCAATCATGATGTCACGGACGTCATTGTAGCCCTCCAGTGAGAGAATCTCAAAGAGAGCAACAAAAGCCGACTGAAGGTCGTCAAAGTGAAAGTTGCGCGGATTGGCCCTAAAGGTGTTGTTCGAAAAAAAGTGGTAAAACACACCAAATACATGTTCATCTTTTTAGCTTGTGCCGTAGTAGCCTGGCTTATTTGTCAAACCTTTGATTCATTAAGCTAAAATTAAAAACAACAAAAATAAAACAGGGACTCTACTGGAAGTTGTTAGGAAGGGAAAAGGATAAAAGGATAAAAAGTTGATAAATCAACTTACCAAACTCTTGGAACTAAAACTGCCGGCATCTCATTACTTTGGTGCTCAAACTTCATCCTCGTCACGTGCACCTGGCGCATAAAGACGCCCACACAGTCTTCCTGCAATGTAACAAAAGCATTTCAATTTTGATTTTTGTTATCTTTCCACCATCNGCTCAAACTTCATCCTCGTCACGTGCACCTGGCGCATAAAGACGCCTACACAGTCTTCCTGCAAAATGTAAAACATACCAAAAACATTTCAATTTTGTTATCTTCCACCATCTTCAATCCACTTACCCTTCTCGTAATACACGGATCATTACAGCGAGCCAGCTTTCCGCCAAACATGTGCACACCAACGGAGGCAAAGACAAAGAGGAGGACGATGAGCAGCACTGATACGAGGNGTTCAATCCACTTACCCTTCTCGTAATACACGGATCATTACATCGAGCCAGCTTTCCGCCAAACATGTGCACACCAACGGAGGCAAAGACAAAGAGGAGTACAATGAGCAGCACTGATACGAGAGCGATCTCCTTGAAGCCTCGACACAGCTCGTAGACCACCTTTCGCATATGCGGAACCAGCGAGAAGATCCTCAGCGGCCTAATGCACCGCAGCACCATCAACGTCTGCTGCCAACTTCCGCTGGGGACCTTCTCCGGAAGGACGCAGATAAAGAGCACCGACACGCCGAAGATGCTAAAGTCCATGACGCCGGCCACATTGGCGAGGTAGGCATTGGGCGTGAAGAGCAGTCCATCGGCCAGCGTCTTCAGCGTCAGCTCGATGGCCATCGCAATGATGAAGGTGTACTCGGCGATGATCAACCAGGGCGTGTTGGCCACCCGCAGCGAGCCCGTCTCGCACATCATCGAGGCGCAGCTGAAGGTGGTGATGAGGATCATCAGCCAGTCGCAGTAGGGCACCAGGCCGAGCAGCTCATGGGCGCCCTTGTACCGCAGCTTCCGCTCCTTGCCCGTCACCGGGTCGCGAATGTGCGGGTCGTACTTGGCGCTGACAATTGACTGGCAGACGATGCGAAAGGCCGACTCTCGACCGACGATCAACAGGGGCGTGTCAAAGAAGGGGTGATTCTCCCTTAGGTCCGACTCTCGCTGAGTGCGCCGCATCTCCGCCTGCTGTCGCTTCCGCTGGAGCATCTTAAAGTCAAAGTCCTGTCCTCGACCGCCGCCCGCTCCACCTCCGGCCCCGGTGCCTCCTCCTCCTGCGCCCGTCCCAGTGCCCGTGCCCGCGCCGCCTCCAGCGCCGGCGCCCGCTCCCCCGGGACCGGTCCCGCCCGGACCGACGCCCATTCCGGCGCCCAGCGTGCCGACGCCGCCCATTCCGGAGACGCCGGAGGCCATGCCGAGCACCGTCTGCGACTCTTCCGCCGCCCCGCCGCCGCCGCCGCCGCCGTAGTCCTCCTTCAGCTGACCCCTCACCGACCGCCTCATCGCCGTCCTGCTGCCCACCATTGAGCTGTGGTGGTGGCCGGTCACCGTTCGGGAGTAGGTGCTGGAGANGCCGCCGCTGCGGCGCTCTCCCCCAACAGCAGCCGCTGGGCGTTTGAGTCGGAGACGATGCAGGCCACTTGGACTCGTCGAAGTAGAGGCGACGAGTGGCGGCCCTTGCTGATGGGGTTCAGCAGTTTGATGGGCGGTTGAGCTAGAGGGTGGGGGGGGATGGATAAGTGGTTGGTAAGTTTTTACCTGCATTTTTTATCAAAAACACTCTTACCATGACCACCACCACCGCTGCTGCTGTGGTGCAGTGAGATCGCCTTGGCTCGGTGGGCCGACATGGCCAACAGTGCGGAAGAGGAGGGCCTCATGCCGGCGGGCATCAGCGGGCCAAAGGCGCTCATGATTGAGGTGCTGCCCGGGCTGGAGCCGTTGGCAGTGGGCGGCTGTAGGGGCGAGGTTTGAGCCTTCGAGCCAAAGTCATCTGCCGTTCCAGGCGGAAGAAGGGCTCTAGCCGAAGATGAGGAAGAAGAAGCTCCAGGTTGAGCAGCTGAGGTGGCAGCAGCGGCAGCCAGATAGCCATTGTAGAGGGAAACCTGTCGATGCACTCCGCCGCTGATGACACTGCCCAAAGGAGCACCTCCCCCACCGACACCGGAAGTGAAGCTGGAGATGCCGGGAATGCCGCCCAGACTGCTGAAGCCGCCGAATCCGGCGCCAGCGGTTCCCGTTGTTCCGGACAGCGGCATTCCAATGGCGCTGTATCCAATGCCGGCGGTGGTGCTGTTGCTGGCCAGCGTCGAGCTAGTGCCCGAGAAGTGGTAGTTTCCCACCATCGGTCCCAGCGAGCTGGTGGCCAGCGTCGAGGTTCCCAGGCCGTGAAGTGTTCCCAGGGCGCCAAAACCGCCACCAACACCACCACCTCCCAAACCCGTTCCTCCGAAGTATCCGGTGGAAGTGGTGGCCAGGCCGCTGATTCCCTTTCCCCCACCACCTCCTCCTCCTCCTCCGGTCGTAATGGCGCCCGTTCCCGTGCCCGATGTGGCACCGGTTCCCGAGGTGGCCAGCGTATTGGTCGCCGTGTTCGTAGTCGGCGACTCGATGAAGGAACGCATGAATGAGTCGCGCACCTTGGGAATGCAGAACTCATTGGCCGCCTTGTGAAGGCGGGTCATCTGCGGCGAGTCGGGAAAAGACTCAAAGAGTCGCAGTCGCAGGGGGAGCTCTTCGTTGAAGCCCGCCGACTGCTCTCGCGCCTTCAGCTGTTTCACCTTCTTGATGTCCTCATCGAGCTCGAGGTTATCGAGGATGACGGCGACGAAGAGGGAGAGCACGATCTGTGTGAAAGAGAGTGGTAATGACCATATGGGTTAATAAGTTTTAAATGACTAAACAAATTATCTAAAATATTATTTTCAACTTACCAAAGACACAAAGAGATGATAGAGGATAAAGTAAATTGCCACCAAGGGGCCAATTTTCCTACCGGACCTGAGAATGGTCTCATTCATCACCTCCGTCCAGCCTTCCTGCGTCAAAATCTGAAACATGGACATGAACGCCTGGAATGGAGAGAAGTGTTTATCAGTTTGAAGTGTTTTTNGAGATGATAGAGGATAAAGTAAATTGCCACCAAGGGGCCAATTTTCCTACCGGACCTGAGAATGGTCTCATTCATCACCTCCGTCCAGCCTTCCTGCGTCAAAATCTGAAACATGGACATGAACGCCTGGAATGGAGAGAAGTGTTTATCAGTTTGAAGT